TTATTTTTGTTAAAGATCTATTGATATCATGACTTGTGGGTATTTTGTTATCTACTTCGTTGCTTCCATTGATCCCATGTTGTTCAGAGTTGTCCAGAGGGACATCAGTAACGTTACTGGCAATAAAATCTTTGTCGCTGAATGCCATTCTATTCAATGGTCATATGCCAGGTTTCGCAAATGAGCTTGTTATGTTCTTCATGGTGAACGCCGATTCATACGCCATGTTGCTAAGATGTCCAATATTCCTTATGGTGATCCTCCTTCCCGGGGATGTGACAGTAACCAATCATTAAATGCGACGCTGGGCGCATTCTTGAAAGGTCCATAAATTGCAACATCAAGTGGTTGCATGCGATGTGTAGTATGAGGAGGAAAAGATAATAAGGTAAAACCATTTTCTCTGCACAACTTTATCGCCTCTAATGATGTATGAGGCTCGTGATTGTCAATAAGTAGCAGAAGTTAGTTACTTAGGTATATGTTTGAGAACTAGACAAAATAATTCTGAGTTCATGGCAGGACACTCATTTTTGTGTGCACCACCCCAAAACCTTTGAATAGGACACCTCACAGACGATTTATTCTCTATAATCATAAAATCCGTCACAATAAATTCTCGAAGATTGATGTATGGCATGAACATTTGATGGTAAATAAAACTCTGGATTCAAAATTCCAGAATGTTTTCCAGGGGTGTCACATGTGGAAAAGGTTAATTGTAAAAACATCCTTTCTTCTTTTGATATTCAAAGATATACGCAAATCAGAAAGTTTTCGAAGTCGTATTTCTCCTGAATGGTACGCTCTATCGTAATGAACTAAGTGTACCTATTTCACGTGAAGAAGTCTAGAATTTTATAATTTCAAACGAAATCACAATTACCTGAATATCCAAAGAAGAAGGAATGTTTTTACTTTTACCCTCCCCCGTATGTGACGCTCCTGAATACAATTTTGCAATTTTCAATTCAGAGTCTAATTAACTATCAGATGTTCATGTCATAGAACAAGTTTCGAAGATTTATTCGGGAGGATTTGAGAGTTATAGAGGAAAAATCGCAAATCAGAAAGTTTTCAAAGTCGATTTTTTCCTGAATGGTACGCTCTATCGAAAGGAACTGAAAAACTCTAGAATTTTATAATATCAAAACCAAATGGTTTTGCTAGCTATTTTGATATTAGGTGAGTTTTCAAAGATTTAAGTTAGTTTGGGTGTGATTCCTTTCATATATGGTAGGGAGGCATAAACACAATTGATTGGAGGGGCATCAGCCACCACGACACTATTTTGCAACAATTCATTGTCAGTATTTACAATTTCTGCTGCAGAGGTATCGAATAAAATTTTCTTGACCAGGGAACTGGGATATGCATTCTGTATGAAAAGATCTTCTAGGATTTTAAAATTTGGTTGATGAAAGGAAGTATCAGAGATTTGGATAACTCGTTGTTTCATTTGTTTTAACAAATTTACCTTCATGCCTTGCTTGTGGTATGAAGCATAATTTAGATAACGTCTAGGATTTCCTATACCAATCTATGAGCACTGTGTTGTCTGGCTGTCTTATGAACAGTGTGTCCAGAATGGGTACAGCATTTTGGCTGCTCTCAGTTTCTATAGTGAATCGGATATAGGGATCATAGCTATTGAAATTTTCCAAAATCTCATTGATACCATCTTGTGGAAGGGATGAGATTATGTCATCTACATATTTTTTAATGAAAGGTAATTCAGAAGATAGTACAGGGACAACTGTATCGAGCAAATTATCCATCACATAGGCAGCTAGAATTGGAGAAATTGAGGCTCCCATGGGAGTGCCAAATGTTTGTTTATAAAATTTGTTGTCAAAAGAGAAATAAGTGCTTTCAAACAGAAATGTAAATAATTCCATGAATGATTGGTTGTTTATGGTGCAGTGATTGCTGATGTCACTCCAATTATGATCGATTGGTCTCAAACATGTTTCTAGGTATACATTACTGAACAGGGAAACCACATCTAAACTTGCTAATACATATTTATCTGGTAATGTAGTTTTATTGAACTGATTTGCAGCCTCAAATGACTCACCTTTGTGATTCACTTCGTCATTAAAAATCGTGAAGATGACTTGGAGATTTTCCTTTCTCCAAATACAAGAGGTATTCGAAAAAGATTTCAAGAATTGCCATCAGAAGACTATACTGTCTCCCTCCCCCATTCGTATAATCTGATGTCACTTGACCGAGAACAAAAAGCTCATTGAGTAACATCATATCAAAAGAAGCTGTACCGATTATTCAAATTCACAATCCCAAAATTACAAATTTCTACACATATTCATATATATTTTCGATATAGTGATTAAACCGTAATTCCCTCTTATTCAATCTATCCCTGAACTCATAAACTGGAAGATACAAGAACTTGAAGAACTTAATATAAGCTTGTATATTGAGAAAAAAGTCATATTTCAACATGAAGCATGACATTTTCGAGAATTTCATCTACGCTTTTCCAAATACCTACTGTAAATTTATTAAGAATCATGATATATACATCAGAGACGCTGCAACAAATCATACAACAAATCGATGGGCAAAGAGCAATAGAGATTGGAAATAAAATGAAAAACGGTGGAGGCAATAAGCCAATGTGTCATCTTCAAATCAAATTCGATTCCAAAAATATTTATTTTTCATTTCAACTATCGAGCAGTTCAATTTCCGGAATGACACTGCTCAAACGCATCCATTATGCTCATCTTCAGGTAGTAGCGATGTGGTAACGATGATTCTCTGATAATACTCTTGATTAGCTCCCTGAATCTCAGCTCACTTGATGATAATATGATAATATATAGCCGTTATTGCTCATAGTAAGATAGTGTCATTGAACTTGAACGGACAGCGTTGCCAGAACTAGTATTTTCGTACTAGATCTAGTACCTTCCCATACAGCACATGACATCCATTGGACGTCCATTTTAGGTTCATTTCAATTCCAAACGTCCATGGACATTGAATGGACATCCAATGTACGTACAAACATGGATTATCATTGGATGCTTCAAATTGTATGTACAGTGGGCGTCCACTCAATTTCCAACCACGCATGTACGTAGAATGTACATTCATTGTACTTATAAAGGTGGATGTACAATGTATGTTTCGAAATTAACATCCGTTGGACATCCATTTTATGTCAACTCATGGACTAAAACTCTCGTGGACGTTTGATCAACATCCATTGTACGTACAGAGACGGACGTACATTGGATGATACAAATTATTCTTACATTGGATGTCCATTTAACGGCCATTTTGAGTTCAAGCGTTCATGGATAAAGAATGAACATTATATCTATATGTATATAAATAATTGTTCAAAGTAAATGTCTATATGGGATCATTTTAAATCTGAAGGATCATGGACGTTGAATGAACGTACATTGTACGTTCATAGATGGACGTAACAATATTGATTTTTCAGCCACGTGGAGGAAGGTCAGATCGGTCGGTAGAGTAGCGGTAGCGTCTGGCGTGATTCTGATGCCATTTTCAGTTGGTAAATGAACGTGAACATGATGTGTTGTGTTCGTGATGAATTGTGGAATGCAGAATATTCAGGACCAGATCATTCAAAGTAGGTATGAAAGCATGCATGTTCGAATGTGACTTCATATATTATCTAATATATAGTTATAATCTTATGCTTTATCATCCTACAGGTTGTTATTCATTTATAATGGGCGGTTTGATAGAAAAAGTACCTGAGTATATAGCAATAATGTGAATAAGGCTTCATTCACCAATCAGAGTTAAGCTGAACAGGATTTGGGGTATAGACAATCGATTTCTACCTATATAGCAACATATAATATTCCTCTTTCACTACAGGAACAAGAATTTGAAATGGACTGGAGAAGACATGAATCAACAATATATTCATATGTATGCAATCGACACCAAATATATATATATATATATATCTCAATAGAAGAAGCTGCATTTGATACCTACTGATTTTTCATCATTTGATTCCCAAAGATGAGCATCCTATTATACACCCACATGTAAACATCCAATGTACGTCCGAAGTGGTGTCCTCAAGACATCCAATGGACTTTCATTGGACGTTTAACGTCCAATTTGGTACGTCCAATGGATGCTCAGACATGTACATCCATTGTGAGTCCAAATATGAACATCCACTGTACATCCACATGAAGACATCCACAGTACGTCCAAAGTGGTGTCATCAGGACATCCAGTGGACGTCCATAGGATGTTGAACGTCCACTCGAGTACTTCCATTGGACGTCCTCACGATCCGACGTGGACGTACATTGTACGTACATTGGACATACATGTGCTGTGTGGGTTACCACTACGCCGATCGCAAAATTCGTACGTTTTCCACGTTTTGACTTGAAATATCAAAATATCGACATTACTGAAATGAGCCAAAAAAAAGATCGATGTGCAATATCAGTGAAATGTCGTTAATGTATTCCATCCAAACAAAGTAGGTATTGAGTTTTGTGCTTATTATGCATGCCTGTACAATGCAGTTCATATTAAACGTCAATATTGTGTATTGTCAATTGTCATTTGTTTTCACTTTGTCAAGTTATGATTATGAATAAAAATAAATGACAGAAGGACGATTGACTCAATCTTTTGTTTTGAAGTGTGTTGAATAATGAGAAATTAGATATTCACAATATTCTGTAAATGAGTTCATTATTTTTCCACTCGCTATTTCCCTACCCCCTCTTTTCCACCCACTATCCTCACTCAATAGTAGGAAGTTCGAATGCAAGTCCAAACTATTAGTTTTCTCGAGAAACTAGTACTTTTTTCAGGAATTACTTTAGTACATTTTGAGTTGCTGGACTGGCAACGATGTGAACAGATAACAATAAGTATATACCATAAGGATCTGAGCGCTGCTGCAACAGTAGGTATCAGTAAATCGATCATTGGTTATCAATAGTGCACAAACATATAAAATGAGATTTGTATATCTGATTGTTTTCATCGAACTAATATGTGCCGTGTACGGATACAAGATCTTAATGGTATTCCCGATGCCTTTCTTCAGTCATTTTCGACTCGGTAGTACTCTGGCCGATGGACTGGCAGAAGCAGGACATGATGTGACCTTGGTCAGCCCTTTCGAGGACAAAAAGGTGCCTGGAAATGGATCACTCAGGAATGTCGTTCTTTCCCTCATCAATGAATTCCAAAGTAAGCGACGAACTGCTGATTCGGTTTTTTCAAAATCAACAGAGATTTTGAGGAGATCCAGTATATCGTCGAATTGGCTAGCATTGATTTCAAGCATGAGGCATTTGATGTTACAAAGTCTACATTCAAGATATACTCCTAGAAATTTGAGAACGAGTGATATTGCCTCAACTCGAACTAAATCATCCAGAACCTATGCAAACAGATATCAACAACAATACCTATTGCTCAACTAACCAGAGGCAATTAACACCCACCTAACACGAAGTAATTTTTTTATGATGGTACAAATAATGCGATGAGAAGATTGATCATAGTTTTCTGTACCGAAAGGATTGTAGCAAACCAACCTTCAGCATAAAGTTTTCGTACTTCTTGAAAATTAAATTCAAACTTCTAGTTGAAATCACATATAACAAACATTTTCTCATTGTAGTGGACGCGCTTATGTTCAAAAAAGGGCTGTCGTGGGCTTGGAATGATTAAAGCAAACGACATATTTCAAATGTTAGTACTCATTTTATAGAACATCACATCACTTCTTGGCCACCCCAGAATCGCGTAGTTCACCCCCTGTAACCCTCTGAAGGGTGAAATATTCAAATAACTATATCTCGATAACTATTAGAGCTAGCGAGTTCGTTCAAACGCTCAAATATTCATATTTTGAATATGAATAACTTTTTTCATCACCATATATACTGAATGTTCGATATTTAGTGAGCTATTTCGAAAAAACCGACAAGTCAAGTGCAGCCCCTTCAAACATCAATATATAAACTCAAAACGAGCAGTCATATGAAAAATGTTCACGAGTTCGGAAATATTGCCTCTTGTTCAAGCTTCATTTTCATGTAGCTATTTGTGTACTTGCATTTGACTGAAGTGGAATAATTTGAATAATAGTAGCTAGTGACTCATCCACATATTCAGAAGACACACACCTGTTGTTTCGAATGACACACAGAACTAATACATATTTACTTTATTCTACAAAAAAACATATCATTGAACATTGCTTCGTCAAAAAATATCATCCAAGTCGAACACAGATCATTTCCCTCTCAAATTTCTCCTTCGTCACTAGAAACGTCGTGATCCAAATTCATAGTGTGTCGTTCTGAATTTTCACAACGCTCTTCTTCAGCTTCACACTCACACATTTCTGTACATGGTTATTTATTTGTTACACATTTGCAGTGTTTTGTATTACATTTATTCTTTCTGCATCCACATCGAACTAAGTTCAATATTTCTGGTGGTGCACAATTCTCAGTACAGAAAACAGGTACGAGTTGCCAGTTGATCATTTCCATCTTCACCTTTGATACACCACTTGAAAAATTCAATCATATTTTCAGGAATGACTTTTCTACTTTCTGGAGACAACAGTGATCCATCGAATTTCCACAAATCAGCATTTGCTGCATCTCTTCTCAGAATAACAGAAGCCTTATAAAGAATTTTCAAATCGTCGTTCATCGTGTTCGAATTATTTGCCATCAAAGATCTGAATGTGTGATCTTTCACACTCTGTAGGCAAACATTTTGGGGTTTGGAAGGGTTAATTGCATTTGAGAAATAAACATCATCCTGAAATTCCTCTATTATAGCGGCTTTTAAATATTTCCTCTTCTTTCGATAATCGTAGGCAAATCATGAGAATTGCATATTCTCAGATATAGCTCTTCAACTTCCTGCATATTCATTATAGTACCAGCATACAGAATATTTCGCAATTCACTCAAAAATTCTACCTCTGATGCAGCTACAGTAGTCTCAAGATTTTCTGGTATATTGTTGGATTTTCTGAGAACATTTACCACATTTGTCGCCCAGCAAGTTCGGTGATATTTCACTTCATATGCACGAGCATCTATTTGAGAAATGAATCCAGATAATTTGACTCTGAGTTCTTCATTGCCTCCCAACTGAACCTCATCTCTCAAACTCCTCCCAGCTTCATCAGTTACGATCGTGTGTAAAGGGTATTTTCTTGTTTCTTTTTTGTTGCCAAAGAAACAAAAATCATTTAGTTTGGGAACATTCGATCTCAAAACGCTATGAGAACCAGAAGTTGATGGAGTCAAAGCAAGCGATTTTTGCGAGGATTTTTGTAGACGCTCTGAACTTTTCTTATGGGTTATCTTACTGTAGCATTCTGAATGCCATGATCCAGAATTATTTCTCAATTCATCCGTTGGTATTGTAGAGTAAATTTGCTTCATATGAATAAAATCAGGATCATTTAGGTCAATTCTTGATTTTATACACTTCATCACCATATCGTGTCTTGTTAGCTTTCTTCACTAATTCCAAATCATTGTTTTTCTGACAAATAACACACAAAGCAAAGTTAATTTCCGAGGACGAATCCATTTTTAATATAATATAATATTGTTCACTCAAATATTCAAAATACTCATGAACGATTTACGAAGTTGTATTTACACAACTTCACATATTAACAGTGATACGTCAACTAATAAGATTCAAGATTCATCTATGATTGATTCTATGCAATGCATGATGACGCTCGCAGACATAACGTTTAGTCATGTCGAAACGTGTCCGAGAACACGCGTTCTTCCGATTTCACAGCGTTTAATACAAGTTTGTATAATCGGAATTATAATAATGCTAGTATCAAAATGAAGCTGAGAGTGTGAGCAAGAATTTTCAATTGGGGCATATATTCGAAAAATTCATTCATTTCGAAGTTATTCGATAAAAATCGAATGGTATGATATAAAAATATCAGTTTATTCGAAATATCTCAACAGGTGTTGAGAAAACAGTAAATGTCTTCATATAAAACTCCATTCACAATCAAAAAACAATCATTTTGGCGTCAAAACGAGTTCGCTACCTCAAATAGTCATTGAGATACGGTCATTTGAAAATTTCACCCTTTGAAGGGTTGCAGAGGGTGAACGACGCGTATCTAGGGTGGCCAAGAAGTGATTTGATGTTCTACTTTCTACATAATGAGTAACTAACAGTTGAAATAGGTCGTTTGCTTTAATCATCTTGAGCCCACGAAAATACATAAGCGCGTCCACTATTGTTACTTCATTGGCTTTGCCTTCCACTTTTATTTTTCCTAAGCCTCAAGTCACTAACTCTTTGACCTCATCAAAAAACCGTAGAAAAGTCGGGGACCTTTCACTTTTCTATAGATACTTCCACGGAAATGTTCCTCAGAAATCTCTGCTATAATTCCATCACTAGCAATACCAGTCAGACGAACTCTACCGGTTCAGATAGCAAATCCTTACTAGCGATGAAATATGTCGAACAACACTCTACCAAAACTCGTTCGTCTATAGAGCATACGTTCAACGAACATTATAGGAATTTCCGTTCATGCGCCCTAAGAGATAAATAGAAAATGACCGTGGAGGTCGAAAGATGTAGCAGATAGGTTTGCGTTATATACATTTTATATTCACATCTCGTATACGGAGTGTGTTTCTCTCTCGAAAAAATAGTTACAAACATTTGGCATTGAATTTCCGAATTTGATAATATTTTGATTGACTTAGTCGTGAATGGTCCTGTGAGTGTACAATGAATTCCATCGCAATCGTTTCATCATTGACCCTGATATAAGTATATAATATCATGAATATCAAAACACAAACATCAATATTAAAACTTGTATTTGATTGTGTTTGACTACCCATTGATTAACAAACATTCTGTTTGGTGGATGTCTGTTATTTCAGAATAGTATTCATTTGATTTTTTGATATGCATTGATTTTATCAATAGCAGAAAGCACCTCAATGTTTACTACTATGCTGAATTTCAAGGCGTGATTTTTTTGAGTATTTCTAAGATATAGAGTTTACCTAAATATTCATCCCAGAAGGCATAATTCTCAACTATTTTCGAACACTCGATTTTCAATAAATCTGATCATGACTTGATTAGCCCCCTACTACTTTGAACAGTAATTTCAAATAAGATTGGATACCAGATTCTCATGATATTCACAGAAAACCGATTTATCAAACAAAACTCTGATACTCTGTATCTTGAGGATGATGCGATTATGGTCATAAGTTCACGTGAACTCATCACTCACAATATCACTCTTAATACTTTGGCCTTATACCTGCTAATATCTTGTATAACCGAATCGAAATATGAGGTTATGTGATATTGTATCAACTGTACTAATATCGAATACCTCAATTGAATGTTCCAGATTTATAAAAAAAAGATCACTACTTATTACTAGGTAGTTTTTCATTTCCATGGAATGATGGCAACTTCTTTGTACAGTAATTCATTTATTTTACTTCTCTGAATAGACATGGACATGGATCTTCAACCACTGTTTTCTCACTAATGTTTCTAATCGATATTTTTTTGAATTTTTTTTTAGGTGATAAGAATTTTAATATATTTGATATGGCGAAACCTGGTGTATTCCTAGAAACGTTGTTCTTGAGCTATATCTTAAACGATGCCACTAATAAAACGTTAGAAGATCCAGCACTTCAACGACTCCTACATTCCAATGAAAAATTTGATGTCGTCATCATCGAGCAATTTATCAATGATGGATTGAAAGCTCTTGCATGGCACTTTGATGCTCCTTTGATCATGTTCAGCACCATGGGAGCAACCGCTTGGTTAAACTCCATATCTGGAAATCCATCTCCTCCATCCTACATCCCAGATACATTTGTGGAATACGGAAGTTCCATGACGCTATGGCAAAGAACTAAAAACTCATTAGTCAAGCTCTTCCATGAACTCATTCGATACTTCATTGTATACCCTGCTCAAGATAAAATGGTCCAGCGGCATTTTCCAGGGTGTCCAAGTGTTGAAACTCTATCTTACAACGTATCGCTGTTCTTCTTGAATTCACACGAGAGCTATGCGCAATCTGTTCCACTTGTCCCTAATATGATCAACATTGGTGGATATCATGTTCAGCCTCCCAAGAAGCTGCCAGTCGATCTCCAGAAGATCTTGGACGGTGCTAAAGATGGAGTCATTTTCTTCAGTATGGGATCAAACATAAATCCTTCGCAGATGAAATCTGAAACAAAACAAGCATTGATAGATGTTCTGGGTGGGTTGAAAGAAACAGTACTCTGGAAGTGGGATGAAGAAGATTTACCGGGTAAAACTGATAACATGGTGATCAGGAAATGGTTTCCGCAGATGGATGTTCTAGGTAAGTGAATGATGAGCTATATATTTCATTCCACTGTGATACATAAAGGCTCAAGATTCTCTTGGAGCTTTGAAACAACGTTAGAAAATGTGATTGCTGATTTCTGATAATTTCACTCAATTTTCGATATTTTCTGAATATATTGAATGATCAGCTCAGTTCCAACCACTTCTTATATTCTTCATATCATCATGAACTAGTGAAACATGTCAAAGGTACTGATTTGAATATCAAAAACCATTTTTATCTACTGATTCTGAATCGAAAATAGGTGGTTGCTCCATCATTTGAGGAAACAAAGTTATCAATTCACTCCCACGAGAGGAAGAAAATATTAACTCCCGTGGGAGGTGAAAAAAATTGGCTTCAGCATGCATCCTTTGGCGTCGATATTTACAGAATCTTTGCAATCCAAGTAATCAGTATCTTTATCACTAATATAAAACAAATAACAATAATATCCTATTTAATATTCCGAACGAACTTTTTATCAAGACTTCCAAATGCAGTTACACAATATACAAATCAATTAAATCATGATGACAGAAGTGTCACATTGACTTTTGTTCGAATGCCGTCAACTGTGTCCATAGCATACTATACCTTTGTGGATGGAGATACTGAAGCACAGCACACAAAGAATGATGCTTTGAAAAAAGCAATCGTTGATGAAATCAAATATATATCATGGGAGCAAAGGTACATTTCCTCCCAAGTGTGTTCAATGCCTTCCGCTACGCGTCGTGAATCAAACTACACACGCGGGAGGAAATGGATACCTTTCCTTCCTTGATATATAAATAGCTATTTATGATGTGTGGCAGGGTAATTAACCCTTTCCAGCCCAGTGATGCCATTTGGCGTCGTTGTAGTTGCAGTATTCGTAATCTACATGAAGGAACCTGTATTACTGAAGATTTTGCTGGAGTTAGTTCTCACATTCTTTCATAGGTGGCAGTAACAGAAAAAATGCGATTTCATCGCATTCTGCCATATTTAGAGAATCACATGCAACTGTCAACTCACGATTGACCATAGTGCTCGTGCTGTCTTGAAAGTTTGTTCAGATTTTTGCTATTCGAGTTTTCAACTGAATCATAGTAATTCATGCATAGAGGGTGAGTTATAATATTAGTTCATAAATATGTTATACAGAAAAATGAATTTCAATCTGATTTTGACCTCTACATGACCATTCAAAATGGTGTGACTCCATATGGAGTCAGTGGGCATTCAGATGAAGAATGTATTGGACTACCAAATTATAATTTTCTTGTCATTTTCATTTTGAATATAATTCCATTAGAGATAATTCAACTTCTGATCATTCGAGATTTCTAGATGATCAGAGTAGGGCCAACTGACGAGGAAGAACGAGGACTTCTATTATTTCTAGAAGGAGATGTATCTGATTCAGACATCGAAGAATCTGATGATCATACTGAGGTTGACGAACTGTAACGTTCAATTTCCACGTTAACTCATTTCGTTACACAACCAAGAAAAATAGAATAAATAAAACTCGCCTTTTGATCACCCTGTACCTAAATTTATTTATTGTTATTCTCACAGCACAATGAACGCAAAAAAAGGTATTCTTCTATCCGTCTTTCGTGTGATAGGTATCCCTGAAGTAGATCTGTGTGTCTAACAGGTTTTTCTGCACTGCTTCCAAATAATGGCTCACCTGGCTTTCGTAGCATTTCAACACACTCATCGATTCTTTATTCATCGGTTTCGGTGTAGTTAGCGCCGCTATGAACCCTGAAAACATATAAACATAATTATTTACTTAGGTATTGATCAATTGAGTATGGTAGCAGACTATAGGCGAGATTGTATAGAGACTTGTAAGATGTACTAAGTTGACTTTCAGACTTACCAGATAGTTGGTTGAATCCAATGTTTATTCGCTTCTAATCGTATCAGGCTGGTATAATCGAAGAATATTTGGATACGATTTATTTTTCTTTGTTTACACAGCGAGCTGCTGTTTGTTACATCATTTGACTTGACATCATGACATACCTGACATTATTGTCATGGGCGTCAAGTGATGAAGTCTGATTTATGACAGACGTGAAAGAGCTGGGCGCTGATCATTCGTATCGATCCATTAGTAAGTGCCAATCTCTAGTGCAGGGTTGCCATATCTGGAAATATAAATTCCTGGATTGTAAAATTATATTTTAGCGGATATAGCTACGTATACTCACCCGGTTTGCTGTATGGAGAGTACCAGAGTGCTGTTCATCAAGTCTTTCATCCTGAAGGGAATTTTAGGCGGATAGGTTACCTTCTTTAGTGTCGACATCTATTGCACCAAGATGGAGTGACGTCACCATAGTTCATTGTTCTGTGGGCTTCTTTTGACAAGTGGTTGCTCGAGGCGACACTTGTGGTGTTCTGGGGGTATTCATTCATTTTGACTTCTAGTGGTTGAGAGTTAGAGTAATGGCGAAACGTTAGTCACAAAATTTTGATTATTGGTATCATCCTGCAAGGGGATTATTTTTGTTGACTATATTTACCGATGTCGGTGTCAGTTGGTTGATATTTTGTGGATATTTTGGAATGCTGACCCAAATTGGACTCGTTACGAGGATCTGAAGTTTTGCCAAACTCTCTCACGTGAAGTTATCCGAGCTGCTCCCTCAGGATACCAGTTGTATACTTAGGTATGTGGACTACCTTTTGCATTTTTTTTGTGTTGTGCTATCTTTGTGGTGATCCCGTGTTTCCAGAATCTAACGAAGCATTTTTTTTTCTTGTCGATAGAATTCATGGTATCGTCATTTCCTTAAGGACAGATGCAATAAGGCCTATTATCACTTACCAGATGTTGATCCACCCGTTTATGCACTGTCGACGTTATTGACATAAATAACAAAAGGATAAAACAAACCTCTTGGCCAGGGTAAGTTGATTTTCCTAAATATTTCATGGAGAATTGTTGATTCCTTTTTTTATGACTTGGGGAAAATCACAGGACAGTCTGTGAGTAACAGCTTGTTATTTTTCGAACGTAGCTGGTCTAGTTGTTCCTATTTTTCTAATATTATACAGTGAATATGACTGGTTAGGTATTTCATATCATTATATGTTTTGAAATGGAGAATAAAAGTTCAACAAGAAGAATAACACTGGGTTAGGTAAACCAGTTGCTTGTTTGATTTCTATAGTTTGGTGAAGCATTAATCAAATTTTGTTTTTTTTTATCAATTTCATTAGTCCATAGTAATTAGGACTAAATTTGAGTCTATTGGGGTATCTATTTCTGGGTAGAGATAGTAATTGGATCATTTATTCCTAGGGTTTTTATTTTGGATACCAAACCAACCTCCAACATCATACATGGCATTGTACAGGGCGTTTCTATTGGAACAAGGGTACTATCACCAATCCAACAGCGCCTAAGAGAGTTCACCGGGACCGTGAGGCCCACCTCTTCACTTATACAGGGTGACACCATTGAAGAGCTGCACCACTGAGGACACGCAAGTTTTTAATGACCCTTAATTATTTCATAATGCTCAATGCTTAGCTTTACCCACATTTGCTAAATTTGCTAAAGGTGCTAAACTTGCTAAATTAGTCTTATTTGCTATACTAACTTCGTAGCAGCCATACAGTTGAACATTTTGTGAAGATTGCTGTATTTGCTGGAATTTGCTGAACCTGCTAAAATTGTTCGATTTTCTATATATGCTTGAACTCTAGTATAATGGGAATTAGAAGATCTGCCACATTCGCTGACTTGCTAACTTTGCCAAGTTTGCTGTATTTGCTAAATTGACTAACTTTGTTAAATTTGCTAAATTTTCTAGATTTGCTAAATCTGCTAAAATTGCTAAACAGGCCAAATTTGTTAGCTTTGTTAAATTTGCTGAATGTGCTAGGGATCCCAGATTTGCTAGATTTGTAAAATTTTATAGATTTGCTAATTTTGATAAATTTGGCTAGATTGGCCAACTTGCAAGGTCTGCTAGGTTTGCTGGGTTTGCTAAATTTGCTACATTTGCTAAATTTGCTAAATTTGCTAAATTTGCTAAATTGGCTAAATTTGCTAAATTTGCTAAATTTGTTAAATTTGCTAAATTTGCTAAATTTGCTAAATTTGCTAAATTTGCTAAATTTGCTAAATTTGCTGAATGTGCTAAAATTTGCTAAATCCGCTAAATTTGCTAAGCTACCTACTAAATCCTCTAGTTGGTGTATAATTTGATGTTTTATATCCCGAGTTTAAATAAGCTTGTTTCTTGTCTCTATTTATTGATACTCCCTGGGTGGACTTGTAAGTGGAAATTATCGTGCGCGCGGTATCGTTAAGTCGGAGGCCATATCTACCCCAAACCTGCGCCTGAGCTCATGCGCTGCGTTTTGCCCTTCCGTGACACATAATATACTTGACTGCGGCCCTTTAATTTCTACGCTGCCCTTACCTTGTACTTGCTGCATGTTTAGGTGACTTCAAGGCTGTTGTTGCTATTATCGGTCACTGCTTAGTTGGCTTTAGGTTTTGTGCATTGGTGTTCGGATTTATATTTTTTTTGGTAAAAGTTGGTACTGAGGCTCTGAACTGTCTCATCATTGACAGTTTTTTTTATATGAATTGTAAATCAATAAACACATTCGAGGGTGACCCGTATTTTATTTGATATTTTCGACCTTTGTGATAACTTAGCCTCAATCTTGATTTGGTGAATTTGAAAGATTGAGTTTGATCAACGAAGGGTATTTGCACGGGGTAAATTCGCCTGGCGCCCATTCAACAACATATTTTCTAGTTATTTTTTTAACTTTCCCTACAACGAACCTCCCCTTCTTCGGCTGTAGCTGGTGCGGATGCCCACTTGTTATTCAACAATAGTGGTCTAGTGACCTTGTGCTTAGCACGATTAGTTAGGTTGCATTTTTGGCGCCCAACGTGGGGCCTTCAAAGAAAAAGTAGGGTTACCTAGAGTGTGTGATAGATTTTTTTTCTCTCTTCGATTTTTTTT